TTAAAAAAAAAAAAAAAAAAAAAAAAAGAACTCCCAAAATTATTCCCTAATCAATACTTAAAAAAAATCTCTAAATAATTTCTCCAAACAATATAGGCAGTATTTACTTGTTGACAAACCATGATCGTAAAAAAGGTTTAAGGATTTCTTTTTTCTAATAAATAAAAATAGTATATTTTTTAATAAATTACCTTAAAAATAAACATATTGCATACCACCTTTATTTTTAGAATATAACATTATAAACAAGAGACCGAGATTCAAACCTATAGAACTCAAAAAGAGAGATATTTATGTCGGACCATTCAAGCTACGGTTAAGAATTAGCTTTCGGTTGACTTCAAATGACTTCTAATTTTTTGACGGATAGAAATGGTCAAGACTTTTCTCCATACACAAAAAGTAGCCACTAAAAAGAAAACCAATCTCTAATTGTGCTTGTATGTCTCTCCCTAGTTTGTTGCCAAGCATTGATCTCTCAACCATTGAATTAAAAGAGAAACTCAACTAAATTTGCAGCCTTTATTGCGAACACTTTTTTCACTTAAACCCTTCACTATTTCTCTCTTAACACATTCACACCACAATCTATTGCACCCAAAGAACACCAAAAGGAAAAAAAAAAGAGAATAAAACTGCACTATTTTCTCTAAACCCAGACCCCGAAAACCTCCACATTCAAAGGAAAAAAGTACCCATTCTTGATTGCTTCAATTCATTACAAAAAAATTTGTTGTTGTTGTTGAAGAAAGATAGGATTCAAAATGGTTAGAGCTCTGGTTCAGCAAAGCGTTCAGCAATCAAGATCATTCCAATTCAAGAGAACCGTGGAGCTTCCTGGAAGAAAAACCCATAGTTTGATTTCAGAGGGTGGACAAGAGGGTCATGGTTCAAGAGATTCTTCAGAATCCCAAAGAATTGGATGGGCATTGAGTGACAATAAAAGCCCGGTTTCGTGTTTCGATGGACATGGTATCAAAGCAAGATGTCTACGATGTCAACCTACCTCTGGTAAAATTATGATGTTTTTACCTCTTTACTTGTCGAGTTGTATCGATTTCATCAAATTGCAGAGCAAAAACACTTATCTAAGTTAGCTTGAGAGTTTCCTTATCTTCTCACCAGTTTGGCCACTCATGAATTTTTTGGTTCAGATTTGGAATTGATGATAGCAAAGTTTGCTAAATTGCTTCTGGGTGAGGATATGTCAGGAGGTGGAAAGGGTGTTTCTTCTGCCCTGGCTTTGTCTAATTCTATAACAAACCTAGCAGGTATCCTTTTTTTTTTTTTTTTTCCTTCTTGTATCTGTCTTTCTCGAACATCATGCCATATTTAGATTCCGGTTTACATTTTCTTCGAGTTCAACAATATGTTAAAGGGATGATTTGAATGTCAGACATTTCGGTCGATGATATGTCTTAACCAATTGGGCTAGAATCTAATTTGTATCAATATGAAAAAACATTGTAGCGTCTACTTTTGGGGAGCAGAAGCTCGAGTCGTTATCTTCGGAGAAGAAAACGAGATGGAGAAGAGAAATAGAATGGTTTTTATCTGTAACCGATCACATTGTTGAATTTGTCCCTTCAAAACAAAGGACAAAAGCTGGAATAGACATGGAGGTCCTCCTCTCCCTAAACTCCTTTTTTCTTTCCAATTTTTTGAGTTCAACCCGTGGAAGCGGGAATTCAAACATTTGACCTCTTGGTCGAGGGAATATACATGGTTCCCTTCCCTCGTTCCTCCCTTTGCGTTCTAAAGAATTGTTTGTTTTTCTTATAGATCATGGTGACTTTACAAAGGAATGATTTGCTCATGAACATTCCAGCACTTAGAAAACTAGATGCCATGTTAATTGTAAGTATCTCACCCATCTAAGAGGTCCACATTTTCCCAAGGACCTTAAGGCTTATCATCCTTACCTCCAGTTCTCACTTGAATACCATTGGCAGGGTTACCTGGATCAATTTGGTAAACTAGATGAATTTTGGTATGTATCAAGAGATGATGAATCTATTACAGATTATACACAGAGGGATGGAGACAAATGGTGGCTACCAGCAGTTAAGGTACCTCCGAACGGGCTATCCGAAGTTACTCGAAAATGGCTGCTGTTTCAGAAGGAATCTGTGAACCAAATTCTAAAAGCAGCCATGGCCATAAACGCTCAGGTATTGACAGAAATGGAAGTACCAGAAAGCTACATTGAATCTCTCCCAAAGGTAAGAGAAAAAAACTTGTGATCTAAGAAGTATGGTCAGTTTAGGTCGGTTAACATGACCGTGTCTAATATGTATAAGATACTTGTTAGGCATATATCGGACACTAATTTAGCAAGCATAAATCAAACTCATGTGTTAGCATATAAATCTATCATGTTTTTAGAAATGATATAGTAAATGTCGTGTTTGTGACCTAGATTTTCAAGAAATGACATTTCACTGTGTTTGGGTCGTGTCGTATCTGTGTCTCGTGTCTGTATCCGTGCTTCTTAGCTTAGGATGATTGGTTATATGAAATTTGAAGCTGAACTTGAATGGTGATTATCTTTTGTAGAATGGAAAAACAAGCTTGGGAGATGCAATCTACAGGAGCATAACAGATGATTATTTTAATCCAGAGGAATTCCTAAAATCAATGGACTTGTCGACAGAATACAAAGTGATTGATCTTAAGAACAGGATTGAGGCCTCAATTGTGATATGGACGAGGAAGATGCATCAAAAGGATGGAAAGTCCACATGGGGTTCAGCAGTGAGCTTTGAGAAAAGAGAGATTTTTGAAGAGAGAGTTGAAAGCATCTTGTTCTTAATTAAACAAAGATTTCCAGGGATTTCTCAATCTGCTCTTGATGTATCCAAAATACAACATAACAAGGTAAAAATCAACGCTTCGATAACTGTCTTGGCTAAAAAGCCCTTGAACTTTGCCCTTTCTTTCAAAACTACCTGTGAAGTAGAAACTTTACCCTGGGACAATGTGCCGGAGTTCGGGTTCCAGGTCCTAATCTTTGTCCAATATCCTATCTAATTTCTATTTCAAGGATAGTTTCAAATGTTCATCGAAGAGGAGTATCTTTTTTAAAAAGGGCAAAGTTCGGAGATATTTACGTACTTAAGCTTTGCTTTTGCTAAAATGTTGAAACATCAGCAATCCATTGATCTTCATCTTTGGTGATTGTTCACAGGATGTAGGACAAGCAATCCTAGAAAGCTATTCAAGGGTGATAGAAAGCTTGGCTTTTAATATCATGTCCAGGATTGAGGATGTACTTTATGCAGACACTGTTGCTCGAGAATTGTTGATCGAGCAGTCGTCTGAGAACGTCTCTGTGGATACAGAGAAGCAGCTGAGTCCCAATGGCTCCCCACCTTCAAAGACACTCTCAGATTTCATGGGTTGGGACGTTGACAATGATAAACTTAATACAGAATCATTGTCCACTAAGGAGAGTTGCTGTAAAGAAGACGTGACCCTTGTGAGCAAAGCTGCTGATGTTGTAACACCAAAAAAATTGTCTTACTTAGAGAAGCTTGAGAATTTAAGTGCTTTAAGAAGTCCAACAGCTCGCCATTAATCAAAAGGTAGAAACTGAAGGAGAGAGGTAAAAAAGGAGAGGTAAGAAAAGGTAAAAAGGGAGAAGCTAAAAAGAAGGGATACAGTGTCATATTTTGAAGTTTCACCCGATGTAAAAATTCAGACCCATGTAGGATTCTATTAACCTATTCTTTTGTAGGGCTTCCTTCTAGCGAAGGAAATAGAAGTTTTCTTTTTTTATGTATATATATATATTTTTTTTAACCTTGGGGTTTGAGCATTTAATATGTACATTCTTTCTAGTTGTATTGACTTGAAGCTAATCTAACATTTCATTTTTTTGTTTATTTTTTAGGCCCTTTTCATAGTAAGAGGATATATTTTGAACTTCATTCATTTACCAATGTTGAAAATTGGGGTTGTTTTATCACAATTTCTTTACCAAAAAAAAAAAAAAAAAAAAAAAAAAAAGATTAAGCTTATAAATACTACTTCCACAAAATTTTAAAAATAGTTTAAGAAGTTGTTTTTATTTTAGAAATTTCATTAAAATACAAATCTTTTTTGTAAAAAAAAGGTGAAAATTATAGTAAGAAAAATTGGAAGGAAACAAGCATAAATTTCAAAAACAAAAAACTAAAAACAAAATCGTTATTGTCAAATGGGGCTTATTTTTTTTTTTTTTTTTTTTTGAACTTGGCATAGATTTTGAAAATATGGCTAGAAGGTCGGTGACAAAACAAAACAATGAAACAATGGAAGTGGTGTTTACAAGCTTAATTTTCAAAGACCTAAACCTAAAAACCGATACATGCTAAACCTAAAAACCGATACATGCTAAACCTAAAAACCGATACATGTCTATGTAGCTGGATTCCTAAAACTTCAATAGAACTTGGCTAGGAACTTGTCTAGGAGAATGAATTCAAGATCATTGCATTGCAACAAGATGTCATTCAAGTCATGCATACACATCTAATCAAAAAATTCAGCATGCCCATGCCCTTTCCAAGGGTAATAACTCCTACGATCATGAAAGTTTGTATATCAATCACTTGCAACATTAACTTGTTTCATTTGAGTAAAATGCCAGCAAATAAGTATTGCTGAATCACTTCAATGAATTTCATCATTACAAGATGAAATGTAACTTTAAACCTCAGCCAAATTTAGGACAAAAGAAATTTAGAGGCGATGATTAAGGTTTATATTCTTGTAGGGAGCTAAGAGTAAAAAGAAACCCTAATAGTCAACAAATAGAAAAGTACAGAGAACAACTTACTGCAAAGTAAAGCCGTCATAAAGGCATTGAAATACCTGCAGGAAAGACAAAACAATGTCAAAGACGGTTCTTCTAACAAATGAATTGTCGTGCAGGAAAGTACTTAAAATGATGATCTATAAACTTGCATCCATAACTTCCTCCCATAAATAAAATTAGCAAAAGTTAATGCCAGAAGACACTTGTAACAACTTATTATGAGACCAAAGAACAAAGATAATAACCCTACAACTGTGAAGGGGACTTTGAGGCATCGGTTTGGCTTCCCAAGCCTGACCAATGTTTAGGATGATAAGTTTCCAAAACTGAATTTATTGGAGAAACGATCGAGTTTGAACAATAACCCCACAAAGTTTTTCTTAGTCTATGCTTTCTAAAGCTGCATCCCAACGACTTCCCAAACCTTTAACTTAAACCCCTAGACATACTAAACCAATGTTTGAAGATGTCGAACTCATGCTTGAATCACCCCCGAAATGATTTTCTTTACTACTTTTACAGTCTTCTTGTTCTCAAGAACAAAAGTTTCGATTTGTGTTTCTTTTGGGTAATTAAGAGATATTTCTTCAGAATAAACTCTGTATAAAGGAGGAGATAAGAGTCCTAAACATCTAACCAAAGTTTAAGAGCCAAGAAAGATGCCAAAAATTGATTATCTTGATTATCGTGAAAATTCCTACTTTTTTCACTTTTCGAGCCTTAAAAAGATTAGCAATATAGCATCAGTCTAGATAGATTTAGCCTGGTTTCTGGATTTTGAAAGAAGTAGCATCTGAAGTACAACTCAGCTTTTGGAAGAGCTACCCAAATCCATAAAAACAAGTAACAGTCCCCAAAACTTCCCAGTGAACCCGCAGAGAATGATAACGAGTCACTGTCATCCTAGCCACCCAAAACAAGCACACATTATGAGGGTTCAGGTGTAGGAGGGGTAATAAACAATGATGCCACAAACTTCTTGCAATTGGAAGTTAGTAATGTTTACTTTTTTACAAAGAACAAAACATATCAAATAGATTACTTTCTTCGGGAATTTTTGTTGTCACCATGAGATATGACAACATCTGAGGAAGAAAATGAGGTGCTTGTATACAGGAGAATTTTACATGGATTAAGAGTACCTCCCAATTAACCAAAAATTATACGTCCCCGCGCACACAAATATAAGGAACTCCCCTATTTACTTAAACACCAGTTGAATACTAATGACACAAACTCTAGGAACCAAAAAATGGTTCAAAAGTCGTTTGCAAAGTGAAGAAAACGTACTCAAATGTTCCAACATTTTATTTTTTTCAATTCTTTCCAGCCAAATAACCCAAATATGTGCACCCACTTACTAGGTCACGAGTCATGACAACCATTAATTTGAAGACATACAGTTCTATGGATTGTAGGATCAAGTGATATTCCATTGAAAATCACTGAGATGCGCATAAGTTAGTATGGGTATACACTCACATCTTAGACAGCGGTAATAATAGATAGAATAAAAATGATATGATAACACTACTATTGAGATGTGCAACACAATTTTTTTTTTTTTTTAAGGTTACATAAATTGAAGATCGTAAATATTCTCTATCATCAACTAGTTGAACACAACTCGAGTATATTTTGAAGCTTGGTGATAAATAAGAGGAGTCAACACATAAACATAAACGGCATCAGTCAAGTTGTAAAAAAAGTAGATTAATGCTAAAATTCTGCAGTCGATTAAGGCTACTTCTTATAAATGATCAATTATATTAAATTTTCATTCAAATACTGAAATTTATTGCATCATTCCGCTTGCTTCCTTCGTACACCAGTCCAAGTGATGTTGTCTATCTATCATTTTCACCTATATGACTCTAATCGCAATTCAAAGGTGACGGAAATTCTAGTAGTACAGGCAATCAGCAACGTCGCTAAATATCCACGATTAATTCAATCGTACTGGAATTCAGCAAGACATGTGCATTGAACTTGACCCGAACTATGAACAGATACTAAAAAATATCCGACATTATTTTATAGAAAAAAAATCTATAAAGTGCGAACAAACAAACGGATATTCGTAACATTTCCTTAGCGACATTCCTCGAGCAAATACAATTAAGGAGAATCATCAGCATTCACAAGAATCAAGTGCAAGAACATACCCTGAGGAACCAACCCCCATCCTTGAGATTCAATGCTCAGACTCGAAATCAATCTAGCTGCAGCTATAGCGCTGTGCAATGGCATCAGTGACCCCTGACTACTCAACTCCAATGGTAACCTATTGCAAAAATCTATTCCATAGTAAGGAATTGAACCAAATCCATTTCTGTCACTAATGATTATTTGATGAAATGACAATGAGATTGGAAATGGAGAAAAGAGACAAGTCTCACCGCGAAGTGCAAGAAACACGCGATATAGAAGCTGCAGAGGGCTGAGATTGACAAGACGATTTGAAAGGAGAGAGCTCAGAAGATGGAGACCTTTTGTTGAGCTTTGGAGCGAGAGATTGCAGGCGAGATGATAGCCGAGAGACTGCCCTTAAGGACGCCATTGTAGACTTCTTTCCACTATGCTTGAACTGTAATGAAATGAACATCAAAGTATTACAAGGGTTTTAGCAAATATTCAAGTCCAAACGTCGTCGTTTCAGTTCGATAAAGAAAATTTGCTTTACATCACAATTGAATTTAAGTTTTTATTTTATGGCTAAATTATATATATATACACGTAACATCTGATATTTATTTCAAAAATATATTTAAACTTTCAAAATTTATTTATATATATTTTTAAAAAGTCTTTAAACTTTCACTTATAAAATTTTGTTAATTCAATAACTACGTAAAAAAAATTAAATTAAATTAAAAAATATATATTGTTTTAGCTTATAAACCTTCGTAAAATAACTATTTTACTCTATACCATTATTTTGTAATCTAAAAGCGGTTTAAAATATATATTCACGTGTTAAAAAAATATTCATACTTATTACTTTTACCATTTTTAAAATTAAATATTTTAAATAATCTACCACACATAATATAATTAAATATATATATATAATCTACCCCACCACCTCACTTAATGAATTAAAAATTAACATAAGTAAATAGATGTATTAACCATAACAAAAAAAAAAAAAAAAAAAAAAAAAAAAAAAAAAAAAAAAAAAAAAAAAAAAAAAAAAAAAAAAAAA